CGGCATCATTCTCAACCCTTGTTTCTGCGGGTTCTGGCCTTCGTGACGGACAGCATGGGTGATCTGCCGATGACAGGCATGCCCGGCGGCTTCTCAAAGTCGATCATGGCAGCTGCGCCATATGAAAGTCGACCTCCCAGCCCGCCGTACATACATGTACCGTTAACGACACTCCGAGAGATGACACTGGATCCCTTTCTGGGCAACCTCGCAACCCTCGGCATCACAGCCGCTGAGTACAGCATCATCACCAACAATGGAACCCCGCAACAGGCTAGCGATCCCTCCGAAGAGTGGACGTACGAATCGCGACGTGAAGCTCAGGCAGTTGTTGACTGGCTCTACCTCGGTCCTCACTCAGCCTCACGCGACCAGGCTTTCCTCGAGCGTGAGGGCATCACCATGATCCTCGCTGTCGGCTACGCGAGCGACATCACCAAGCCAACAACACTCGTCACATTGGGCCCCACGGCAGCCACCCGTGCACTCGGTATTAAGATGGACAGGGTTGACGTTAAGAGCATGCACTACCTCACCAGAGTGTACACCACAGCCGCCAAAAAGATCAACGACCATATCTTGGAGGTCCATCGTAGCCAGGCCGATAGTGGAGCCGTCGTATCGCACAGGCGCGGCAAGGTCCTCGTCGTTTGCGAATCGGGAAATGACCGCTCTGCTATGGTTGTTACTGCATACCTCATGGTCATGTTTGGCTTGGACCTCATTACAACTGTTTCCTACGTCACCATGAAAAGGTTCTCCGCCATGTATGACGAGGATTCAAAGAGGTTACTGGTTGCGTGGCACGACATCCTGGCGGCACAGAGATCAGTCACTGCCCAGGTGATGGCTTCGACGGCATGCAAAGATGCACGAAGTGAGCCTCGCAAGCGAGGGATCGAGATGATGTTTGACGGTCATCAATGCGGAGGTTCAGGCCAAGACGAGAAAATGGACCGTAACGATGACGAAAGCCGTTTCGGCAACAGGAATTTTGTACCCTTCCTGGACACGGGAAACTGAAACGAACGACGCACCAAGGTCAGGGAAAGAAGACGATAGTGTCAGGTTTTACACTTTTGGACTGTCTTGACAAGCATGTCATTGAGATGGAAAGATTGCCTTGAGCCAGCCCAAAACCTGTCCTTGAGGCGTTTCTGGACAGCATTGTGTCAACGACAGAGGAAGGAACAGGCGTTAGGGGTGTGTCATTGAATTACCGAATGCTCTATACCCAGCTTAGCTAGCGGAGATGACAGGGTGGTTGGCCAGTGAGAAGACGCAAGTCACTGTTCACCTGTGAATGTAAGTCACCAGGCCATTTTGTAATAAACTGGAGTCAACACGTGTGCGCGGACCTGGTGAAGAACACGAGAAACCTTGGTCCTGGGGGGTTTGAGCCATCTCGCTCCTCCTCGGTATGTTTCTGTCCTTGCTCATGAACGTGCTGCAATACTTCACGGCGCCCCTCTTGTGAAAAGGCAACGATGACCCGCCGTGTCCGCCATGCTTATCACCATAGCTCGTCCCAGCGGAAT